CTCTCTCTCTGGCCCTTCCCCTCTTGAGCTCTGTCTCTCTCTCTAGAAAATAAATAAACATTTAAAAAAATTAAAAAAAGAAGAAAGGATCATCTGTTGGTTTGAAGTTATTGTAGTGATGGAGTCTTGTCACAAGGGAGAGAGACATAGGAGAAAACAGCCAAATGTAATTAGAATAACAAGAAAGAACAGCCCAAATAAAAGTCCTTTGGTAATTGATGAAAATCTTCAAGTTCACAAGTTGAACCAATCATGAAAGGAAAAGAAGAATTGCTTAAAGCACTAATTTGAGTGTTCAGGTCAGTTAGAAATCCAGAAATTTTGTGTGATAATGTAGAATGTATACTGATGAAGTTTTGGAGATTGGTGCGGTGGTCCAAAGCCAATGGCCAAGAAAAATTTCTGGAAGAAGTTTTTGATGCAAAGAGGTGATTTTATTAAAGCACGGGGACAGGACCCAGGGGCAGGAAGAGCTGCACTGGGGTTGCGATGGGTAACTGATTATATACCCTCAGGTTGGGAGGGGGTCAGGGATAAAGTCTCTAAGTTATTTTGGAAGCAAGATTTTCAGGACCTTGAGGGGCTCGCTGTTGCTAAGGAAACACCACTTATTACCATTGAATAAAACCTCAGTGGTGAGACCCTTCAGATGCATACTGGGGGCTATAAGCTTGGAGTATGATTGCCAGCATATATCTTGGGGCAGTTGTGAGAAAGGAAGTAGACTTACAGTATCCTCAAGGTTGGGATAATGTTGAGCTAAGGTTCTCTTTGCCCCTAGCAAAATGTCAACATTGAAGCAGCAGAGATTGAAGAGGGAGTTCACTCTGCTGGTTTCAAGAACTTATCAATGGGGTGATGGCAGTAAAGGGATTTAATTTTTTTTGCCTTAGTTTCCCACATCACCATGGCAAGCACTTAGATGCCTTTCCTTTGTTCTTGTGAAGCCAGGAATGTTTGAATAATGCACATATTCTACCTGAAGGGAGGGGAAGATGTGCCAGCCTGTTTTGTCCTCAGCTTGCCCCACCCTAACTCATCATGTCCCCCCTGAACAACTTTGACCCTTAAGTCTTTAAGGTTGTTGTAGGAAGAAGGTCTCATCTTCTATAGCTTCATCCTGCTGAGTAGGGGCATAGAGCCGTCCCTACCTATGGGTCAATATTGGTCCATCAGGAAACATATAGGGCAGCTAAGGTGAGGCAACTGAACCCAAGGTGGACAACGTGTATGAACATCCTTGAGTAGAAAGGATCATCTCTTGGCTTGAAGCTATTGTAGTGCTGGAATCTTGGCACCAGGCAGAGATACCTGGGGAAAAATAGCAAAACATAAGTAGAATAACTAGACAGATTAGCTCAAATGAAAGGTCCTTTGGTAGCTAACAAAAATCCTCCAGACCAAGAGCTTAACCAATTGCTAAGGTAAGAGAGGGATCGTTTAATCCACCAATTTGAGTATTCATGTCAGTTGGAAATCCAGAAATATTTTGAAGTAGTCCGAATGTATACACGCCGTTTTGTTGTTATGAGAGTTTAAGTTCCACCTTGTGCAGCACTTAAAACATCTAATGCTATTCTGTTTTGTAGAACTGATTTCTGTATTTGACTTATTTAATATTTAGTAATATAATGTTATTTTGAGAGTCATTTAAGGCCTCAACTGTGTACAGGTGGTGTATACTCATTATATTGACTCTGTTTTGTTTAGTAAGCCAGCACGTCATTAATAGGAGGTACTTTTATAGAAACAAGAAAAATACAGGTTAATGCTCAGAGCAGATTACAAACCCACTGTCTCCCAGTGCTGCCAGTGAGAATTGTTAGATGTTAGGCTTGAAGTATCCTCAGATGTTTCTGGGAACAGGCAGCAGGAATCACATCGGTCTTTTGGCTTGTATCTCAAATGTCTGTGGTGATCCTTTTGAATGGACCATTGTAAGAAGAAATTGTTAGTAGAAATTGGGAAA